GAAAATATAAGGTTGGAACTCTTTAAGTTTTGGGTCAATATTCTTGGAGGACTGCCCACGACGTTTTTTGGATGAAATTGTATATTTCCTGTATATTTAGGTGTGTTTTGAATGGATTTCACCTTTAATTCTTGGGCAAATTCATAAAACCTTAACAATCAAACCTAACATAACCTAAGAAGCTGATTTCACTCAGTTTTTCAAACATTACAAACATTGAATCACTGAAGATTAAAGAAAAGAGAGGCAAAGGGGGTGGGGGTTATAGCCTCACAGCTGCTCTCAAGAAAGCAAGTTAAACTCAGAAAAGAAGCCCCCAAAAACATCCAGGAATAAAATCAATTATTTTTTTGTTTTGTTTTTAAATAAAAAAAAAATATCCCAAGTACTGTACTAAATTGTAGGTAGTAAAAAAAATAATGTTAACCAAGTTTTGGCTGCTACAGCTACAGGTATTCCTCCTATACAGTACAAGCGTTCGGTCGTTCGCTCTACGAATATTTGCTTATACAGTACAAATATTTCATCTTACTCCTCTTCCTTACTACAGTACACAAAAGCTATGGTCCCTTAAGCAGGCAAATAATTATATTTTTCTGCCAAATAATTAATGTTTTGCTTTGAGAAATTATTCCTAGATATCTAAAGATAGATGTCAATAACCTACTGACTATTGCAGAATAAATTGTTTTTATTGAATACATGTAATCTCGTGTTAGAGCACAATATCATGTAAGGCACAATGGGCTTAGGATAATGCGTTTTATACTCAGCAGCCACGTGGTGATGCCACTGCTGCAGGAGGATAAAAAATTTAACACTGAGTGGGTCATCCTCCTAGATTAAAGAATACTTGACCAAACTCAACCTAATATTACCAAACTTGATTAAAATATATTTCAAGATTCTGAAGTTAAGTTATATTTGACTGATCCATTCTACACATTTTAAAACATTATTTTACGATTTTTACTACTGTACTGGTACAGTATATGGAAAATCCATAGTTTAAGACAGTTAAATAAAAATTAAATTTTATGAGTAGAACAATAATTCTGGTACTGTACCATATAGACAAAGCATATGTAAGTAAGCAAATGAAGTGTGAAATGACAACTCAATTACAGTGGTCCCTCGGTTAACGAGCGCCTTGGTTAACGAGATTTCGGTTAACGAGTTACCTTCCATAAGATTCTTAACTTCGGTTAACGAGCAATTCCTCGATTAACGAGTTTCTTACGAGCCAACCTGAACATGATTTCGCTTGCATTTGGCGGTCCACCAGCTGTAGTATTAGTCCGCCAATACAGTAATCGGTTCTAGGGCTTAAATTCCTTACCATTTTAGCAAATATCAAGAAGTTTATACTATTCAATAATTTTAAAAGTTTAATATTAAATTTTTTACTCATTTTAACAATTATTGAACATAATTGAAGGTAATGAAACTAGTTTTATGCGTGCCATCCAGCCTCTCAACACACCATACAGGCGTCAGTCTTTGTGTCTTTTCAGTGGAGGTAACATCTTGCTTGAGACTCTCAACTAAATGCTTTTTTTCTGTTTTTGCAAGCAAATTATTGGTCATTTTGAAATTTATTTTACATATTGACAATATATAATGCAGTGCAGTGTTGATTTAAAGAAAATAATCTTGAATTGCACCAAGAGAACTAAAATTTTATGGGTGAAATGGCACCATGGGGTGACTTCTCTTCCACCCCAATGCCTTCTCTTCTCCCTTCTCCACCCCCATTCTAATTCCCATCATCATCATCCAGGAGCCTTCTACATACACACCTCAAAGTCAGTGTACTTTTCTACCTTTTTTGTTGAATTTAGGCAATTTTCGGTGAGCTGGAACCAATTACCCAAAAACCCATTGAAACAATGGTTTCGGTTAACAAGTTTTTCGGTTAACGAGCAACCTTCTAGAACGGATTGTGCTCGTTAACCGAGGGACCACTGTATAACCCAAGCAAATGTAAGGTGCTGCAAGTCAGTCAGAGGTCACATGAGGGAAAACAACACTCAAATTTGTTTGTCAACATACTGGACACTGATTCTGGAGAATAGCTTACTTTGGAACTGTTCAGTATGAAAAGGATATTGGAGTGTTTACGGATTCTACACTATCAACTGACATATTGTTAAGAAGATACCAGTACTGTATATATAGAGCAAACAATGTTAGGAGTATGAGCAGATGTAGCTACCTAATTTTACTCGGATGAAGAGTCTCTCCTACTACAATATATATTAGCTATATAAGGCATTAGTGCACTCCTATGTATATTCCCAAAAGCTCTTTTTGGCATCCCAAAATGTCAAAAGTGAGCAGTAAGACAGCCATCATCACAAAATAGACTATACGGAAAAAAAACCCTACAAAGCTCAACCTTTCTACCACATCCTACAGGATGTAAAAGGGTAATAAGATTTAGATGACCAAAATACACTAATTAATCATATGCATAAATCTTTTCAAATTGTCTCTTACGACGACCAAAAAATTGTGCTTGTCATGTTGTCTCCCTTGAGGTTAGGTTAGGCCTCTCAAGAATCACTCAATTCTCTGCCTTCACAAAACACAGTGATGGAATTTATTCATACTATAAGCTTCAGCCTCTAAAATATTAAGTGGTCACCATGACTCGGATGTCTGTGACCTGTCACAAGCTACATATTGATGTTATAAGATGCCAACCACTGAAACTGCAGGACAAGTGTAGGCTGAACACCAGGAAGTAGTTTTACATAGATGCATAGAGACGTGTAATTATTTACCAGAGGATACCCTCAGTGTTCTGTCAGTATTCACATTTGAAAAATAATTGGAAACACATTAGAATCATCTTCACTTGATGAGGGACTAAAAAGCAAGAGGTGACTGCTGGGTCCAAAAGTCTACATAAGTAAACTGAATACTAATAAGTGCAGGTATTTACTGTTTAGTATTTCGAGCAGTGAAAAACTTCCCTTAACAGATATTAACTCTTAGAGTGGCAATGAAATATTTTGGAAGAAATTCTGGGATCCTTGAAGATTAGACATCCCAGCTTATTTCAGACGAAGATTTACCTCCCTAATACTGTACTATACTAACATAACCCCAACGGTATGTGGCTTCTGGGCCCTCTACAGTTTGCCAAGCTGACAAAATCTACAATAAAACTCTAGAATCTTTGATTTTACCATGAACGAACCATTGAGTCATATACACTCATGTTCAACAATCCTCAGTGGTTCATTCCTGTTAAAATTAGGTCTAGTCCAATGATGGTTTGGTCAATTTGCAGAAAAGCCATAAGTTTGGAAGTTACAGCATAAAGTTCCAGTTCAGTTATATATTTTTGTTTTTTAGTTCCAACACTGGATCCAACTAGTACAGTACTGTACACCCAAACAAATTTTCCATAAAAAACGGCGGTGGAAATTTTACCGTGACCGACTAAGTTCCTGCTAACTCTATTTTACCATGAGTGCGCTCTGATTGGCTAATCGCCCAATACCGGCGAACAACGCAAGAACGACATGTGACCATGACCCTGGCGGCATTTGGCATTCATTTTGCCATGAGTCGATCATTGTGTAGCTATAAACATACTTAACCAGAAGTTGTTCGATTTTGTTCATTGTTTACACAAAAGAGGCGACATATACTAGAACCCAACAGCAACTGACCTAACCAACCAAACAAACCTACCTAACCTTACCTAACTTCCTAGCTGGGGGCAGACCCCCCGTCATATTAAACAGAAAATAGCCACTCAGAGCGCACTCATGGTAAAATAGCGTTAACAGGAACTTAATCGGTCACTACACTACATTAAAAAAAAATGCTGTACAATATTACCAATGTGAAAATATACAGGTTCCAGGTGTGTATTTCAAGTTGTTTGTGGTAAAACTCCCTAAAAGATTACAACTTGTATTTCCCATCCACACGAAAAATATTAATGGACATTTTTAACGCGAGCTTATCATTAATTAATGAACATGTTGGCATATCAGGCTGGGAGATTATGAAAGTTATCATTAATATATAACTATTGAAGAAGACATGAGGATCGTAAACGTTATACTGTACTTACTGCATGTTGGGCTGGGAAGTTAACAGCAGTCGTCAATATTAACTCTTAAAATTGTTATGAGAATAGGAGCCAAAGCCATTAAACGATTTTTACCAAAGTAAGTTAATAATACTCACTGTGTAGGCCTGGTTAGTTATGTGTAGGCCTGGTGAGTTATGTGTAGGCCTGGTGAGTTATGTGTAGGCCTGGTGAGTTATGTGTAGGCCTGGTGAGTTATGTGTAGGCCTGGTGAGTTATGTGTAGGCCTGGTGAGTTATGGTGTGAGGCCTGGTTAGGGTGTATGTGAGGTGTAGGCCTGGTGAGTTATGTGTAGGCCTGGTGAGTTATGTGTAGGCCTGGTGAGTTATGTGCAGGCCTGGTGATGTGTAGGCCTGGTGAGTTATGTGGTTAGTTATGTGTGGCCTGGTGAGTTATGTGTAGGCCCTGGTGTAGTGTAGGCCTGGTGAGCCAGGAGTTAGTGTTATGTGTGGCCTGGTGAGTTTGTGTAGGCCTGGTGAGTTATGTGTAGGCCCTGGTGTAGGCCTGGTGAGTGTAGGCCTGTGTAATGTGGTTGGTGTATGTGTAGGCCTGGTGAGTTGTGTAGGCCTATGTGTATGTGTGTGTAGGCCTGGTGAGTTATGTGTAGGCCCAGGTGAGTTATGTGTAGGCCTGGTGAGTTATGTGTAGGCCTGGTGAGTTATGTGTAGGCCTGGTAGGCCTGGTGAGTTATGTGTAGGCCTGGTGAGTTATGTGTAGGCCAGGTGAGTTATGTGTAGGCCTGGTGAGTTATGTGTAGGCCTGGTGAGTTATGTGTAGGCCTGGTGAGTTATGTGTAGGCCTGGTGAGTTATCATAAGGTCAATAAAGTGTTTAACTGGCAGGTTAACATAATAAGACGTAAGGGGACAGTGAAGAGAGAGAGTACTGACTGCAGGGTGGCGTGGGTCTGGTGGGCTGGTAGCAGGTGGTTCTGGACACAGGATCGGGAATGTTGTTGTTTAATCGTGGTTGTGGCAGCGTGCATTTGAATGAATTCAGGGTCACAGCTGATGGAGCGGTCGATCACAGCTCCCCCCGCAGGTAAGGATGGTAAAGGCTGTCTCCCTCCTCCAGCAGCACCAGGAGACTCCATCATCTCCTCCTCGTCTCCTCTACACCAGGTCTCACCAGGTCTCTCAACCCTTTAAATTTCAGTTCATGTTAGCATTTTGACAGCATGATTCTTCCCCAGCTTAAATTCACGATATAATTGTCAGACAGACGTCAACTGCCCACCAAGATAACAAGTTTAATAGTTACTACTTTAACTGTGTTGTGGAGACCTCTAAGTGGCAGATACTCCACCATATTTTCATTAACTACCTTATTTAACTGACTACTATTAATTAAATATACATGAAAATTTTTATTTAATATATTTTCTTATTTTCTTGTGTATTGTGATGCCAGGGGGGATAATTTATATATAATAATCAAATATTTACAGCGGCTACCCTCACTGTGAGAATAACCTTTGACAACTCTCCATGGAAAAAGAAACTACTCATCTCAAAAAGTAAAAATATAATAACATCATATTTTTAAATAAATTGGTTATTGATTTACTGTCTTTTAAATATATATGAAAACAAAATTTACTCAGTTACCTTATATAAATTATAAAACCCAAACTACCTAAGATGACAAACAACGATGGTATTGGATAGGTAGTTGACGGCTTATTATTGATCAATGGTGAAAAGTATACATAAAGATGTAAACATTCATTAAAAAGTTACCCCAGGCTCCATTAAACACTAGGAAGATAATTAAAAATATTCTTGATATAATATTTCACAATGAACACAAAATTAGTCGCATATAACAATTACTCATTCAGAAAATAAACACGACCAAAAATCAGTTAGGTAAAGCGGAAGAGGGAGAAGAGATCCATCTTAAGTAAGTTTTAGATTTTCCCTATATAGAGCTACATGCATCATAACACCTCCATCTTTTGGCTTTTTCTCATGCCAGTGGTAACGATTTATCATATTATGGTCATTATATTTCGAGGGATAACCACATACAAGAGTAGTTCAGGTATGTAGTGTGGATCAGCTGATTGACCCGGAACTATGAAGGAAATATTATTGGAACTCAGCAGCTGTTGTGTTATGGTGGCTGTTTATCTCCGCCTCGTGTAGTAGAGAAACATCAACCATCATGCTGTTATATACCTCTCATAATATAAATAAACTCCTCAATATGATATAATAAGTTATATATCATGTTTTATTAAGGATATTATTGGTTGAATTTACACATAGATGGTATTAATGGTAACATCTGGACTGTATGTATTTGTTATATGACCCTGGTGTAGTGAAGGAGTGTCTAGCCTTGTTTACCTACGACGTAGTTCAAGAGACAAGAGTCGTTAAGGTGATGGGGGTGTGATAATAGAGCCAATATGTTGCGATTAGGACTAGAGACGATATCTAAAATGCCCTGGTATTTTCCTTGGTCAGATGCCATCAAGAAAAGGGCTATAAGGTATTTGTTACAGCGATATGTTGGTCAGTTTTTGGAAGAGAAGCTTTCATTGGATCAGCTCACAATTGACCTATACAATGGAACAGGAACCATAAAGGAGTTAACATTAGATGTGGGGGCGTTAAATGAAGTAGCTGATCAATTAAATCTTCCTCTTAGATTTGTGGATGGGTATATTGGTGAGATATGTGTGTCTATACCCTGGCATGCTCTCTTATCAGAAAATTGTTTTGTGGAAGTTTCTGGGCTGATGGTGACTATTGAACCTAAACAAAGGTCTGAGGATATATCAATGGTGGACTCGATGATTGAGTCAATGAGTATGACCACTTCCATGCAGATAGCTCAGGAGTGCCTTAATCACCATGAAGAGGAGAGTGAAATGGAGGGCATTGCAGAAAAAGATACTAGTCAAACCATTGAGGGCATTGAACACTTTGCTCAGGCAATAGATACAGTACTTAATAGAATTAAGGTTCGTTTCCTTGATACAATTATCAGATTAGAGCACACTCCTAAAGGAAGTCAATCTGGTGTTTCCTTAGAGATAAGAATAAAAAAGATAGACTATTTTGATGAGGCGGGGTTGGGCAAGACGACTCCAACCAGTGAATCAAACAAAGCAGGGTATGAACAGCCTGCATTTGCATCTAAGAAATTTCATATTGAAGGTTTAACTATGTACACAGATGAATTTCCTGCTAAGTCCAAAGGATTGGCAAAGTCGGTGATCATTCCATCATCAGAATCAAATTCATCTCCAGAGTCGGGTTCTAAAGTCTCTGGTTCAGGTTCTGGCGATTCCTTCAAGACTGCAGAAACATCTCCAGCTGAAGATAGACATTTTGAGTACAACCACGAGAAAACTGTACGTAAGTTGATCACCAGTTCTTGTATTCCGATGGAACCAATCCTGTTTGCAAAATTTACTGGTTCTCAAGAGATCAGTCTGAAGTTAAAGCAAGCAGACGTCATGGGACCTAAAGTAGACCTTAGAATGAATTGTGGATCACTGATTATGTTCCTATCTCCCAGGCAGATTCATTTGCTTCTAGAACTCTCAGAAGGTGTGGCATCTCCTGATAAATTAGACTTGGAGCCCAGTGGACCGAGGAGCATAGGAGGGAAGCAGAAACCAATGGATCCAAATGATTTCAGGAAAGTAGAAAATGAACTTCTTAAAGAACTTAGAACACCACATGTGTCGAGCCACGCCCTTAACCAACATCAAGGCTGGTCATCCACTCCACTAGACAGTGACGATGAGTTTGTTCCAATGAGTAGTGGGACCGGAGGACTCGGTAGAAACATGTCCAGTAGTCAGTTGTCCGGTTGCTCAGATATGGACAGCTCGTTCAGTTCAAACATGTCAGGCAGCACAGTCAAGTCTGCCACACCTGGGGCGTCAAGTACACCTACATTTCGTTACACAGGTGTTGGTGTGATGGTTGGGGATCATGCTATTGGTGGACCAGGGAGGAAGAAAAGTGATCATGGTGGTAGCAGGTTAACTGATGATCCATCAGCAGTTGTAACACACTTAAGAGTACAGATTAGCAGTTTGGCAGCTGTAATTCTTCATGAAGATGTTTTGACACCATCTATTAACAACTCGAACATGGTATCAAAGGCATCAGTAGCTGAAATGCAAGCAAAGTCTGAAGACTTTTTTTCAACCCTTGGAGTACATGGGTTATCAGGCTATAGTTTTAATGTGTTTCAAGAAGCTCGAAAGAGATTCAGTGAAGCTTGTCAGATCAATCACTTAAGATTCATGGCAGCTCCATTAACAATAGAAGGAAGTGAAAAAAGCTTAGCAAACAGGTGGGAGATGAGTGTAAATATGTCTTTAGGTTGTGCTGAAATACTTGAGTGCCTTGTGGACTCCTCAGTATCTCCAGTAAAAGTAGAATATTCTGATTTACTGTCTTTCAAAGAGAGCATCAAAGAACCAACAACTGAGAGTGTGTATAGTGGGGCCATCGAGCCCAAACTTAGAATAAGCATTTCTCAGTCTCAGAATATGACTCCTACTGGAAGGACTCGGAGGATGAGCACACCAAAGCTGGACATCAAAGTGAACCTGGGTGACTGTGTGTCAGAGATTGACATGTCTATAGTAGATCGTATTAGTGCTCTTATTAATAGGCAAGAAGTGTGTACAAAAGCTACTGAAGAAGTGTTTTCCCCGGAGCTTCCACCTAGCTATATCAATAATCAGGCGTGCTTTAAGCAAACTCTGGACGATGCAACTTTACACCCGGAGACACGAGTTAATGTTAAAGTTTTTTCATCGTCCTTGACTGTCAAACTTAGGTTCCCAATACCTGACTTGACACCTACATCAAATATGGACCGAGTACCATGGTGGAAGAGAAATATTAGAAAAGATGTTTTATCTCTGGTCCTGCAAGATTTTGAGTTTGTTACCACCATAGATCCACACATGCCCTACAGTAGCTATGAAATTCGCAGCAGTGACATCCACGTGTATTTCCAAGAACGAGAAGAGGATGCCCCCATATCCCTAGTGCAGGCCAGTTCCAGTCGTGGTGCTGAGAGAGGGTTTGACTTGCCACGCGTAGTTGTGATGGTCCATCCGATGCAGCCATGGGCGTCCCTGGAAGATGAGGCTCCTCGACAAGAAAGTATTATGACCAAATCTATGATGGGTTTCTTAGAGGAAGTGAGTGAAACAGAGCCAAACCCCTTTAGCCGTAGAAAAGTTGCCACCCAACAAGCGGGAGATGATGACGTAGGAGAAATTACTATCCCAGCAGACAAGGAAGAAGTTTTAGAATTCATGGAAAACATACTTAAAAACGTTCAGTTACATATAGAAATTCATTTGCCTAATGTCCAGTTAATATTACCTTCCAAACATATCTATGAGGTGGTGTATAACAGACTGGTATCAGACCTCTTGTTGTGGGAACCTTCTGCTCCCAAACCAGCAAGTCATAGCAACCGCAACCTAAATGTTGCTCAAGGAGGATTAGACTTAGCTTCTGTGTTCATGAATGAAAGTATCTACCAAAGCACAACACAATTTACCATGTGTACTTCAGCAAATGCAGCGGGGGGGAGTGACAGTGAAGAGGAGGGAGAGTCACAGTTCTTCTCAGTATACGAACACAAAGCTAGGCAGAGATTGAAGCAGCAGCAACAGGAACCGAGCAAGAACAAAAAACAAACTACTTTGGCCTTTAAGCTGACGATGGGTCACGGCGTTGCCAGTATACGAACTCCGTACAGAGATGCCAAGAACAACGTGCTCCCTGGACAGCACGGGGAAGTAATGCTGGTTATTGACCAAGGCACAATATTTGCTGCAACAGGTTACCAAGGGAGTCCAGACTTGGGATACACTTGCATTTGGGCTAACAAAGGCCACATATACCACAGAGCAGCAAATATCACTCCAGACCGTCCATTAACGTTAGATCCCGAAAGTCCGCTCTCAACCTCAAGATTAGATGCTATTCTCTATCCTAATGATGATGGTGTTATAACAAGGTTAGGTGCAGGAGTTGGTAAGAGTGAAGACTGCCAAGATCAAATTACCTTGGCTTTGAAAATGGATTTTGATGTGACTCGCAATCTGAAAACCATTATCTTAGCTGGTTGTGTTAGGGGAGCCACACTGCGTCACTATATGTGTAGTGGCCCAGAAAGTTGGGTCACACAACTTGGGGACATGTTTGATGTCCAAGACTATCCTCTCGCAGGTTATGTGCTTCCAGATGTTGTTACAGAGATGAACTTTCACCTGTGGGGTTGTGCTCTTGATTATCGTCCTCTTTATTTACCATTAAGAGCAATGTTGACAGTTGATGCCTGCTCAATATCTAGCAATTTAACAATTTCCAGTGATGCAAATGTTTTACATTTCATTATTGAAGATGCAGCTCTCTTTTTATCAGACAAACTTTCTATGCGTACTGTTGACTTGAAGAAGAATTATGTTTGTGTGGCTGACTTGGGAGTCTTTGAATTGTGCTTAAGAATGGTGGAAGATCTTAAGGAGAATAAACCAAAAATTGACTTATTGGCTTCCAATAATGTGATTCACATTCGCACTTGTGCTGACTCGTGTAAAGCATTATTGGAACTTTTGATATACCTGGCCAGTGATGGAGATCTGACTAAAGAGGTCTCCTTGACACCAACCACAGTAGCAGAACCTACCAGCACTCATACTACCAGTGCTGCATCATCTCCTACCAGTGAGTGTGCTACTATGAAACCATCCGAGACTCAGGAGACCATCTTCAACCCACGCCTGAGAGAAAATGATTCCCAGCAGCTGGAGATGGTTAGAGGCATGATGGATGATGCCATGATTGAGTCAACACCATCGACATCATCCTGTGAAGATGACGAAAATGACCCATCTTTATATTTAAAGAAAGGAGTGGAGGTGTTTTTCTTCCCAGATGATAACATGAAGCAAAAGCAGAATGCAGCCTCAGTGACTAACATTCAGAAAGATACGACCAAGCCTGAGGAGACCACAACTGAAACTGAATTAACAGATACTGAATATGCCTTGAAGGAAGCACTAAAAGAACAGCTAGATAACCCTTTTGAGGACTGTAGTTCTGGCACTGATGAAGAGTTCTGCATTCTTGACGATGCACCCGGCACGGGCATAAAGTCCCCATCTGGTGAACCACAAGTACGTCTCTTAACTCAGGATCCTATTATCATTATTGACAACCACTTCACTGTTCCTCTTGGTAAGGTAGACCAGCTTAGGGCACCTAAGCACTTTCCTGCTTCATCAATGAAGTACACCCTTCAGGAGTTGACGGTTGTTTGGCACATGTATGGTGGCTCTGATTTTAAGACTTCATCGCATGGCATACCTGCTCATACTCGTCGTGTTACTATAAATGACTCTAATGGCAATGTGGACTCTGTGTGTGGAAACTATGCCACAACTGTCCCTTCACCAAAGATGACCTATATACCAACAGAGCCTTGTGTTACAGTAAGAGCTGGTGAGGTTCACTTCTCATCAGGTCATACATCACCTACAATGTTCAAGAAATCGCCACCTCATAGTCCACAGCAACGATCTCACATGGTGTGGCAAGCAGTTGGAGGCCCAGGTCGGAAGCACGACATTCTTCTGGAACTACAGCTTAGCAAAGTTCGCTTTCAACATGAGATTTACCCTGAAACTGCTCAACAAGCATCTAGAAATGTTCTTCTCATTCATGATGTAGAGATACGTGATAGACTAACATCTTCCAAGATCAACAAGTTCCTGTACCAGTTTTCGTCAGAGACATGTCCACGTCAAGCTCATGCAAACATGGTTCAAGTGAAGGCTCTCACTACCAGACCTGACGGACAACACGGTCCACAGGAAACTAGTCTCAAGATCTCACTACAGCCCATCAGACTACATGTAGATCAAGATGCTCTCCTCTTCCTGTTTCAGTTCTTTGAGGAGCTCCTAGTATCTGACAGTGAGGGAGAACTTGGAGAAGAAGAAAGGCCACTGTTATCTACTCAGGTTCAGGCACCGATTATGACTGTAAATCTTAATCAAGCAGCTCAGCTCAATATAACAGATAACCAACAACTCCTTGTTAACTTGGAAGAAAAATCACCAATGTCAGATACTGAGGAACACAGCAGTAAGGCTGATGAAAATGCTCCCCCATACTTCAAGTCATTTGTGTTCTCCCCAGATGTTCCCATCAAGATTGATTATCATGGCAAGCATGTAGATATTCACTCTCAGTATGGACCTGTTGCTGGGCTGATAATTGGTTTAGGACAGCTTAATCAATCAGAACTGACTCTGAAGAGTATTGTACATAAGTCAGGTCTTCTTGGAATTGACCGGCTTATTCAGTACATAACCAATGAATGGGTGAACGACATTCGACGTAATCAACTTCCGTCAGTTTTAGGTGGTGTTGGGCCAATGCATTCTGTTGGAAAGTTAGTTGGAGGTGTTCGAGACTTGTTCTTATTGCCTATTGAACAGTATCAGAAAGATGGTAGACTAGTACGTGGTCTTCAGCGTGGAACGTCTGCCTTTACCACTTCTTCGGCACATGCAGCTCTTGACCTCACTGGACGATTCGTGGGATTCATCCAGTCTACTGCAGAGACGATGTATGACATGGTATCCTCTGGCCCAAGTGTGCGTCACAGGTATAGATTACGCGGCGGTCAGCCCCAGGATATCCGCGAAGGAGTCACCACGGCATATGGAGTTGTTAGAGATGGAATTGGCGATACAGCGTCAGCAATCGTACAAGCAGCAACACAAGAGCATCAGCAGAAAGGGGTATCGGGAGCTATTGGAGGAGTGTTGCGACAGATTCCACCCACTGTTATGCAGCCGATTATCCTGGCATCAGAAGCAGCAGGGACTGTGATAGGAGGAATGAAAAACCAACTAGTGCCTGATGCTCGTAGGGAAGCAGCCGATAAATGGAAAGCATAAGTAAACACTGCAAAATAATAATAGTAATATAAAGCGATGGATATTCCTGTCTCGAACCCCTCACATCATCAGCACTTATGGCACAGGGTTTTAAATAATTATATTGTTATTTCTGTGATTGCTGCACTCTGCCATAATTTGTAGTTCATTTCTTCAAGATTTGTAAAACGGATGTGATGGAAACTTATATACAGGATTGTCCTTAATGGAGACATGCAGTTTGTGCCTCACTTTGCTATTATAAAGCTAAAGGATTATTTGAAACTTATGTTTATTGTGATAGTGTGGGTATGTACCAATGTGTGAATTTTTATATCTAGTTTAATTAATTAATACTTGAGTATATCAGTGAATATTTTGTATCAGTTTTCATGATTGTTGCACCTGTATGGATGTTGACATTGTTTGCGATCACTACAGTACTTTGCCTTTATTCCATTATACTATTTTTGGCCAAGCCTGGTTAATATGCTAGTGCAGTAATGAAATTTTTGGGTTCTTTACATTATATCATGTCAATCTGAGCTTTGGGTGTCAATAAGTACCCAAATTATTGTTACCTGGGAATCTGGTGCTACAAAACATGTACAATGTTGCAAGAAATCTGGTGTAACAAGAAACAATGGGATTATTACCTGAAAGCGAAGAAATCCCAACTACTTGCTCAAGAAGAATGTCGTAGAGAAGACTGAGAAGCTGCAGATAATAGTTCTATTTAGTGTTATTCAAGAATTATACATTTGGGAATCACAGTTGGCAACGTCCATATCCAAAACAAGTGAGTTCTTCAATAATTTTTTTAATAAATATTCTGTTTAAAGCATTGAATATCAGATTATGAATACCGGTACAGCATAAGACAAAATATTTTTCATGCCAAAGTCCATTTTTTTTTAAATTCTGCTATACCACTAACTGAAAATATAGATGTACGTATGTGGATCACTGAAGTCTACAGTAATTGTAGAAGATAAAATTGAAAATCGAGTGTGAAGAGGACCGTAGTGCTTTTGTTTCTCAGTGTTTTATCTTCTACAAGTGGATTTCAGTGTTATGGTTTATGTTACATAATTCCTTCGGCTATGTGTGTGAATAGTGTTTAAACTTTGCCTTAACAAAGTTTTATCTAGTGTACCTGTAAGTACAGTACTGTATTAGGTATCTTGAGATTTTGTATTTAGTTCAGAGTAATACCTACTTAATGCAAGGGTAAGGTTGGTGTTAATTCAGAGTAGATTGTACGTCATGAAAGGAGACATGAAGTTATTCCATCTGGCTCTCCATGTACGTGCATGGAGGAGCACAAAGGGTAAACAATACTGTACAGCCCAGGTCTGATTTTGCTGTGACTCTGTGACAACTTGGCTGTATGTACTACAAATTCCCTTTTATATATTATAATTAAGATGGATTACCTAAAGATTACCTCCCTCAACTGATTTCACCACAAAGAACAGTGTACTGTAGTATGTAGTGTTTTTGGGGGCGTGGTTACATGTGCAAGGCTTGACGTGTTCCCATTATCATTTCCGTTTATTATTTTTAATCAAGTACAGTATTGACATAAATAATTTTTTCTATATTTTCTTGATAAGTCGTATAAATCAGTAGAAATAAATAACTTTTATTTTATTATTTGGCTTCCTTGCCTGAGAAGCACATGGAAAGTTCCCGAGACACCCACACATGCATAGGTGGAAATTTAAAGCCCAGAATGCAAAATTATGGAACTGTTTAGTCTTTTAACAACAAAGTACACCATTTAAATCCCCCCAAAAGGTAGTTTTTCTGGACCTGACTGGACAACTTTTTCCAGAACTGATGGATGTTTTATGGGTTAAGGTTATTCTAACTGTTCCAATGCCTCTTCAACCCTTCTTGTTTCAGTCTTACACCCTTAAGGACAACATGTTAACTGTTCCCATGCCTCTTCAACCCTTCTTGTTTCAGTCTTACACCCTTAAGGACAACATGTTAACTGCTCCCATGCCTCTTCAGCCCCTCTTACTTCACCCCTATTTACCCGAGACAACTTTATCTTGTCACTTCATTAAATCATTCAGCCAGGGAGGGAGAGAAAAATATTTGTGTTAACTATGAGATTGAAAGTTTTAGAGTACAGTGTCATTATTATCCTTTAAGAGATCACGTATGTTTTATTTTTCCAGAGAACAAATTAGAATGTCTCAGAGGTTGATGCATCGTACAGCACAACGTTTTGTGTCCCCCTGTGGTTGCGCCTTCGTGGATAATGGGTTGTTTCGACAGGGTTTGCCTGCTTCAGTTAGACAATGGTAAATGCTTTAGTAATTTTTGTAGTGTTAAATAAACCTTTTTTTCTAATTAACCGTATTGAGAAATACCTCTGCAAACTTCTATAATTTTATTTGTATCTCTATAGTATAATTGCTTAATGTAATATATTTGTCTCAATAATTAATTTAAACTATTTGTCCAAATGAATTGTATTAAAAAATACAGTGCCTATTTTTACACACTATCAGTGACAATGAATACTCCACACTTAAACTGTTTAAATTGCTTATTAATTTGCATAATAATGGTGTTATATACAAATACAATACAGTATAATAAAATGTCCCCACTGAAAATTCTGCAAATTATAAAACTTTTAAATAGTGATTTTTTACTTGTTAAGGAAATCAGTTAATTGTATGAATTACTTTAAGCATTGTTGAATTAAAAAAAATCTTCCCTAATTAAAACAGGAGTAGTAAAAGTACTGTACCTGTAATAAAAAAAATAAATATAATTACCTGAATTTGTTTTCTCATGATTATTTTCAGTAAGCATTTTGTATTATACAGTACTGTGAGAAGGGTTTATCCAGTCACTTGAGTAGACCACCTTATAAATATAATGATTACCTGAAGATTAGACACCCTAACTTATTTTACCTGAAGGTTAGCCCTAACCATATTTCACCTGAAGATTAGCCCCTAGCTTATTTCACCTCAAGATTAACCACCCTAATGCTCCCTTGGGGAGGAAGGGGGGGTAGGTGAGCATTAGGATGATTAATCTTCATGTGAAATAAGCTGGGGTGTTTTATCTTCAGGTGATCCATATTATTACATCTATGGTATGCTAACGTACATTTTTCTATAGGATTCACACTTCAGTCTTTGCCGCTCAGAAACAAAGTAACATTGTGAATGTTTTTGATCGCCACAGCAAATTGTTACAGAGGGAGAGAGCTGCTAGAAATCCCGATGTTGCTGTTTTTGATTATTTGAAAGAGGAGGTGAGAAATGTGTCCTTTTGAAGTTGAAGTTTTAATGAAGTGTTCTTATTATATCTTAGTAGAATGATTAATCCTTTGGAAAGGATTGAGTTAACATCTTTGATTCTAGGAAAGTTTCTTTTAATTTAATATCACCTATAATCTTGTGTTCTTTCCTTGACACTTTTTTTTTCATAAACATTAATTTTAATTATGGATGGGTAATAGAAACTTTTTATTTATTGTAATTATTTTTCAAAATCAAGTTTCAATCCCTAAGACATGTCTGGCCTCACAAGACTTGCATCAGATAATTATTACAGTAAAATATTCGTATATCAATTGTAACACACTGATAATTAATCTATTCTGTTTGGATCTTTCAGGTTGGTTATCGTCTGTCAGATCGTATTCTTGACATAAAACGTGAACTGAAGGTTGGCCTTGACCTCGGCTGTGGTCGGGGATACGTTGCCAAGAACATTACAGATGTTAGTGTTTCTTGTACAGTGCTCTTTATGTGATTTACTCAGATCTGAAGATTAGCCCCCAGCTTATCTCACCTTAAGAATAACCACCCTAACCTACTAACCTAACTCATCAAGGTAGATTTACGGTGTTTAATCATCAGGTGAAAATAAGCTTAGGGCTAATCTCCAGATGATTCATTCGCTCTATAGAATTGTGTAAAAAATTATGCCAACAACATTTTAAAAACTTTGTCTTAAGTTGATCAATGAATATAATTTTGTCTTGTAATGTTACAAAGTATTGCTCAGTTACTCACTTGCTGTAGAAGGTGCTATTGGAAATTTAACGTAGCTGATGAGTGTGAATTGATAGATGTGTGTTAAATTTTAAGATATTTCGTAAATGACATTGTAGGAAGAGGTTCTGAATGGATTATCTTTGGTTAAGGAATAGACCAAAAACATAGGGGTTGTCAAGGATATTGTCGACATATATTTCTTGCATTTCCAGTCTAATTTTTACTCATGCCTACCATGTTGATTTAAAATAGGAAATTTGAAAAAGGCATCAACAACAGTATAAAGATTTCAAGTGGGGTTAATCTAAGATATGATAGAATAGTTATTTAATTATATAATATAATTAATTCATAAATATTAATACAGTACCCATTATAAAACACGATTGATCCTGAAAGGCCATTTTGTAACAGAGTCAGTGGGGAACATCTCACGAATACAGGCAGTCCCCGAGTTATGAAAGCCCGACTTACGAATGCCCGACTTACGAATATCCTCACTTACGAACAGGATCCCAATATATTCATCACAAAAATCTCTAATTAAAATCCATTTTTTACATTATTTTCATTATTCTGTATTGTTTAACATCACTTTATTTACAGTATAGTATTTACTTTATTTGTTATGTATGGAATATTATTGTTGTTTTTATATGGCAGGTTTTACAGTATACAGCTCCTCCCCGAATTACGACCTACTCAATTTACGACCACCCGCCTTTACGACCTACCTCAGTCGTACCAAAATTTTGTCAAATTACATATTTTCTATTCCCAACGTCAGTACACAGACAATTTTTGTTTGTAATTCCCTTTAAAATGGCTGGCATGCTTAAAAGTGAGAGTTTTGTGGTGCTGAGAAGTAAAAGAGACACCCATTTTAGACTTTCTATGTATTATATAAGCTTTTTTGACCATTTCGACTTACGGCCTGGATTTGGGTCCTTAACCTGATCGTAAGTCGGGGAGGAGCTGTATAATTAAAATCCCAATTTTTACTTTACTTTATATTGTTTAACATTATTTTATTTACATTAATTGTTTTACATGGGATACTATTATTGTTTTGTACGGGCAGGTTTGTGCTTTAAGCTAACTTGAACTATGGTATTAAAACTGTTCTGAATTACGAACAGGGTACAGGAACGTAAGTCGGGGACTACCTGTATTCACACCGAGGGCTCCCAAGTAAAACCTTTGGCTGTGGTTACTGGCAGTAATTCAAAGATTACTTGCTTCCACATGGTACTGTAGGTAATAGGCAGCTACCAAACAGGGAGGTACTACCGCCTGGGAAGATATTGGAAGCATAATGTGTTGTCTATGGTAGACCCTGCTGCTACATGGCATCACAAAAATTGTGACCAAGTCCCAGGTTGCTGATCTGACTTTCTGCCTCATTTACACACAATTGCAGGGTCTCAATTGTTTCACTTACTATTGACAACACAACATACATATATTTTTTCTCACTTTTTATCTTTTTTTTTATTTTTGTAATTCTTTATTATTTTTATTATTATTATTATTATTATTATTATTATTATTATTATTATTATTATTATTATTATTTTCATCATCATCATCATCATCATCATTATTATTATTATTATTATTATTATTTTTATTATTATTATTATTATTATTATTATTATTATTATTATTATTATTATTATTATTACATTTTTGCCCCCCAGGCCCTGATGTGGGTCAATGACCTGTGCCCGGGTGGGCTGATCCCTGTTAAAAAGAAAAAAAATGCTTAGAATGATAGATTAAAAGGTTATGGTTTGCCCTTAAAGCTGGGAGTTTTGCAAGTTGTGATGCTGTGGAAGTTATTCTTTTTACTATATACAGGTACTCCTCGACTTACGACCCCCTCAAATTTTTTTCAAATTACATATTTTCGAGTCCCGACGTTAGTGATTGCGCTGTGTACTGACAAAATTTTCATTTGTATTTCCCTTTAAAATGGCTGGCAAGCTTAAAAGTGAGAGTTTTATGGTGCTGAGAAGAAAAAGAGACACCCATTTTAGATTTTCTATGTATTAATTTTGCATTTTCGACTTACGACCTGGATTTGGGTCCCTAACCCCGTCGTAAGTTGGGGACTGCCTGTATTTCATATCTTACTTGATTGTGACGATTACCAGAATGCCAGTAACATTCCCTCACCCCACCGAACCTCCAAGAACATACCAGGAAGGAAGGTGGGAGCTTGGTCGCTCTGTACTGGGGCTCTTATAAAATGGATTTTCTGATCAAGTCCTAATTTATATTGTGGGATCATCTGAAGATTAGCCCACTCCAACTTATTTCACCTGATGATGTACCACCTTAATGATACCTAAAGGTTAAGGTGGCTAATCTTAAGGTGAAATAAGCTCGAGGCTAAGTTTCAGGTAACCCGTATTGTAGTGTCAGTTTAGAGTAATCTGTAGATCAGAAGCCAGGAGTTTGCTTCTTGCATAAAAGGGTAAGCATGTGATCACCTTAGAAAGTCTGCATTAACTCTCTGGTACTCTTGGCCATGGTTGGAAATCTCACCTCGCAGTCTTTCGACACAGGTTGCATCGATAACAAGAACGGATTTTCCAATTTAGTAAACATTGGGTAAAGCGATCCAGACCCAAATTGCACCCTTAGTGACACATCTGCCAACCCACGAAACTAGAGGAAGGAACTTTGATGTTTGATAGGGCCGGTCCACTGTTTCTGCTTACAGGATGGGTGATTTCAGTGTGAGATATCGCTGAGCAGGAGGGGTTGTCCCAGCATGGGTACACTTAACGACACAATTTGCATCAAAAGACCACGAGGGGGTTAACTATGTAGAATTTTGTGAATCTAGTTTATAACATTTATAGGAGTTGCAGTCTGGAATGAGGTATGCAGCATTATGACTTGTCTTAGAATAAATCATGACCTCTCATCTCTAATTCAGCAACATTAGTTGTTGGAGGAGGGGGGATTGAGTACCAGCCTGGGTGTGCATATTCACAGGTCACTTTGAACTGGTACAACCTTATAAAATATGGGAGTATGGCAGCAAAGGAAACAAACAGGCATTGTGTTTGTTTTGTTACCAAACTCACATCTGTCCAACTGGATCATAATCATATAAAATATAAGTATGTATACTTTAATTTTTTCTGTCATATTCATAAAGATGGATCCATTGATTTAAAGGTCTTGTTTTTGCAGGTTGAATTAAGACACCTTTATATGAGTGACTTTTCTCCTGCCATGTTGGAGGCAGCACAGACGCCTGAAAATATTGGATTTACCAAAATATTGATTGACGAGGAACAAAAATTTCCACTTGAATCAAAATTGTTTGATCTTGTTATTTCTAATCTGAAGTAAGTTAATCTTTTTGTTCCACCTTTGTGTAAGTCACCATGGTTATATTAGATGATATAGTTCAGCATAAATAAACCTCAACTAACAAAATCCATTTCTACTTTGATTTTCAAATTAATACTGTACTGTACTTGTAAGTTACTGTAGTTTCAGATGTTAATATTATTCAGTATTTTTTCTCTTACACACTTTAACCTCCTACTAGTGTGGTTCAAACAAGATCAAATACACCTACTGTACACAATCATTTGTTGTAATTCATTCACTCTTACTGCTGCAGAAGATATGGTACACTTTAATACTCCCCTTACGCAGCGAGGTTCCACCCTTGTGTAACCCCGAGGCTTCACACACCCAACATTACGTCCTTCCCAAAATAACTGGTTGCCATGCTCTTACTATCAACTCTCCAACACACTCACTATCAACTCTCCAACACACTCACTATCAACTCTCCAACACACTCACTATCAACTCTCCAACACACTCACTATCAACTCTCCAACACACTCAACCTCCAACACACTACCATCAACCTCCAACACACTCTCCAACACACACACTCATCAACTCTCCAACACACACACTATCAACTCTCCAACACACTCACTATCAACTCTCCAACCTCACTCACCATCAACCTCCAACACTCAACTCTCCAACCTCACACTCATCAACTCTCCAACACACACACTATCAACTCTCCAACACACTCACACATCAACTCTCCAACCTCACACTATCAACTCTCCAACACACTCACTATCAACTCTCCAACCTCACTCACTATCAACTCTCCAACCTCACTCACTATCAACTCTCCAACCTCACTCACTATCAACTCTCCAACACACTCACTATCAACTCTCCAACACACTCACTATCAACTCTCCAACACACTCACTATCAACTCTCCACTCACTACCACTTCTCCATCAGTCACCTCTCCATTGCTATTTTCGTCCAAACTTGGTGCCTTACAATTCTTAAGCTTAATTACAACCAGTCTCACCACCTCCTCCCTTTTTACCTTTTCCTCTTTCACATTGACACTTTTCAGTCCAACTCTTTCAAACAGTAGTATTCTGTCTCTATCTCTCTTTCCCTTCATCATTTAGCTACTTTATCCAGTTAAGGCAGTCAGTCACTTATTTCTCTGCTTTGTATTGTTGGCAAGTACTGGGCATTTACAGGTTCTGGAATGTACTGTACCTGGACATTGCCAGTGTTGGTCAAGTCTTGTCTTATATGAGTTCACACTTGGTGCTGTCACAAAATTCTGTGACATTATCTGTTAACTATAATAGCTGTTCCAATACATTCTCTCCATTTACCTTATAATTCTTGCATTTCTTTCCACCAAAATATCCTGTCCTTCATTCTTATATGTTACTTCCTTTTGTTCTCTTGGTTTTCTCAGCTTATTTAGTTGTTCTCTTTAAAACCTTGAGACACCCACCCCACCCCCCTCATTAAGTGCTTTAGATTTTTTGCCATAGCCAGATGACAATCCAGACCAACCAAAATTTGGATCTGAGAGGTCCGGAAGTGCAAGGGTTTTCTGTATTCTTTGGTCAAGAGGCTGAATAAGTTAAGTGAGATTCAGAGGGACACAAGCTTTAAAACTGCAAGCTTTAAGAGAATACTGTACTACAATAAAACCATTTACTACCTCATGTCAGGTAAAACAATATAGGCCATTCACAGTATAGTACTCAAATGCTGCATGACTATTACTTTCCCTACATTGATTAATCCATATAATGTTCATCTTCATTAAATTTTCCATTTTTATTCACAGTTCTCTAGTTGTTACATACCATGGACACTGATATGAGTAATTTTTTTGTAATCAGATACAATATATAGTTTTGCACATAATTTTTCCTCTCATTACAGCCTTCACTGGGTCAACAATCTTCCTCAGTGTCTGAAGGAGATCCGCAGAGTGCTGAAAGAGGACGGGGCATTTCTAGCATCCATGTTTGGGGGAGACACGTTATTTGAGCTTCGTTCATCATTGGTGTTGGCAGAATTGGAGAGGGAAGGGGCAAGTACTTCATTTCTTCATTGTTGTAATAATGTCTCCTCATCAGTATTATATATACTGTACTAACATACCTCTTAAAACAGAACGAGATATGTTCTTGAGGCTAGTTCGCTAAGCAAAATATCCATTAAAAGAGGCAATTATAACATGGTGCTTATGAAGATGGATTTTTGCTAATAACGGCAAGTAAACAGCTCTAGTGCAACGATAATGAAACAACAAAAATGACTGCTGCAACTTTGCAAGGTGGCAATGCTTAAACTTTTACATTCAAATGAAGACTTTGTTAGCATCAGTAATAAATGAAACTAAATTTACCACCCCTGTTTGCTCTTCCTGTGCACCTACTGCTCCTGCCTAGCAGTTGTGGGAGACGAGAGACAGCAGCTATTCCTGAGAAGATGGGCCAAGTTGTGGCCCATTTTCCTTTACAAAGAAGGCATCAAGGGTTGACTGTCATGCCGTTTCTTCTCAAGATGCATCTCTTCATAGGGACCCAATTCATTTAAGATATTTCTCATGCTCCATATCAGGGTAATTTTTGGTAATAAGTTCGAGGGATTCACGCAATTTCCGGTAGGCATCTGTTAAAATCTTTTTACCGAAGAATTTTTCTGGTTCAGTGTCTTCTACATCTTTGGTCTCTTCACTAGCACGGTGTTCGTCCAGTTCATCATTTGTTGAGCTGCTCCCATGTGATATCAGCAGCTCCTTCACATTGTTGACATTAATTGATCTAGTCCATTTTGATTGGCTAACTGGACAATGCCCCTGGCGATATTTTCCTCCACATCAAAGCCTCTAAAGTCATGACAGACACCAGGCTATACATTACCCCACACAGTTTTCGGTCACTTCATCCCATGCTTTGCTGATGTTTTCAAAAGCCATCTTGACATTAATTTTTTTTTTTCCTCCAAATTTGGCAAATGAATGTTGGTTGGGACCATCTGTTACGAGGAACAGCTACCTGAAAATGCGATGGAGGTAGTACTTCTTAAAAGTGGCAATGACTCCTTGGTTCATTGGCTAGATAGGGGAAGTTGTGTTTGGTAGTATGAACACCATCTCCCCAGGCAGGACCATCCTTAAACTGTCTAGGTGCTGTGGGTGGCCAGGAGCATTAGCCATCACCAACAAAGCTCTGGGTGCAAGATTGTCAAATTTAAAAAAAATACAGTAATCAGTACAGTAATGATATTAAAAGTACAGTAGCTTTTTCTGATGTCATGTTTCTTATTACATTGACTTGTATGCCATTCAAGTGAAGTAATGCTTTTTACATGCATAGGTAAAAATCTGTAAAAAAAAAATAGTGATGATTGCTGCAATAAATAAATGTGAGGGAAACAGGGAATTGCATGCTGTAATAAGCAAGAGGGAAAAGAAAGAAGGAAATGTAAAAATGAAAAAGAAGAAGTAATTTTGAAAGACAATGTGTGTGCCAGATGATCTAATAGGTTGTAAATATTGTATCACCAAAAACATGAACCATCATTTAATAACAAACTTCTTCCATGACAATATTGTCCTGACCATTTGAAGCAACTTGTTCCAGTAAAGATATTGACAGTTAGGAAAGACCCCCCAAAAAATTAATGATTTATCTTGAAAATTTGTAGCCATAAGTTGTGACCCCAAGACATCATAGATTGGGACCATTTTATGAATATATTATGTTACCTAAAACAGCAGTAGATCTCCTTAGTATCAGAAAAGTTATATGAAAAACAAAGAAATTGATTCTATAAACTGGACCCAAGTATAAAAAAATAATAAAAAATTAATAATGATAAATTTTACTGTCTTGTCTTTAATATAAAAAAAAATATCTTGTACAGTACTTGTATTAACAAAATTAAACCACATGCAATCCTTCAGTCTAGGAGCGAGAATTCCAAAATTATTCAGGAAAATTTTGAGAAGCAAAAGAGAAAATGATTATAGAAACTATAGACTCAGTGTGTGATAGACAGAAGAAACAGTAGTCCAGTATGTCCCCTCTAACAGTTACTCACTAGTGATGTCTTTTTTCTGTGTAAGTTCAGCAGCATTTCTTGAATTTATACAAGAATGAATAACAAACTCTTTACTTTCAGGGCTTCTCTCCCCACGTGTCACCATTTACTGAGATTCGTGATATTGGAGGCCTTCTGAACCAGTGTGGCTTCACCATGCTGACCATAGTAAGGATTTTGTATAATTGTTTTATGATATGATTTACAATACTATACAGTAATCTCCCTGTCAGCCAGAATATTTGGTGAAAGAGTGGCTACGAGTTTGAGACATTTCCGGGTACACATAGTAAAAAAAAAAAGTATCGCTCAGGGGGGGGGGGTTCTTCTGACTTCCGTAATGATCTATACATCACCTGATGTGCCAGGAGGGTTGGTATTTGTGCCTGTATGGCTAAGGTTTCCACCTACCTATGGTAGAGCCATATTAGTTACGTCCCACAGGACCGGCATAATATCATCAACACCATTACATTAATTACCTTACAAGGCATATTCCACTATCCCTCGTCTGTGGTGTCATTTTGTTACGCACATATTCCGTGAGGTACTTTTTTTTACTGTGTGTACTGTACACTGTACTGTATTGAGACAAATTTCTCATCCCTGGAATTTTTTCAGGTACTGGTTAATGCTTTCATGTTGGACTGCAGTTGGACAGACACAGAGCTGTATTTATTCATGCAAATGCTACTTTTCATGTACAGTACTATATATTGTAAATAAACAAAATATATTACTGTATACACTATACTGTACTCGCCAGTGGTTGCTGTAGTCATGAGCTTGCTGATGCAGGCAGGCCAAATGGTGATAAGATACAGGATGGTCTGCTTTGTCCTGTACCATCTACTGTGGCAGGCTGGTGCTAACTGACACACTCCTCTCCCTCCACAAAGGAGGGATTGTACATGCACATATACTGTACATACACCCTCTACACACTAACCTACAGTAGGCATACACTGCCCACTCTGCTATGTACAGTACAGTACTGGACATACAGTACTTTCACACTTAATGAATGTAAAGTACTGTACTGTACAATAATCATTCCAAATAATGGAGCAAAATGTGCTGGCCGGTTTTGCAAAAGGGAGGATTCTGCTAAAGTGAATAGTTACAGTATGTCTCTGGCAGTGAAGTGGATAGGTTCTTGTTCTTTGTTATTCTGAATTTTGCATATGGCTAAAATGAACAAAAACTTATTATAAACAATAAAAATGATACAGAACACATTATTAAATACAATAGCATATTTTTTATGTCCAAAAAATAGATATTTTTTGTCCGCAAACCATTCTTGGGTGACGCCAAGAGATGTGTGTGGCTGTTGCTATACTTCGCTGTGTGTATGCCATGACATTACATTGGGGGAGGGAGCGGAGGAGCTCAGTGGACTGGTGACGCAGTTACAGCCTACTGCCTCCACACATACATTCACCTCTTACACAAAATGTACACCCATGCTCTTCATTTTTTTTTTTTTTAATTTTGTATTATATTTTCTTTATTTGCAAGTCACATTAAAGTATTGAAATGATTTTTCCACAACATTTATAGTTTCATTACATGCAACGTGGATGACCATTTCACAAGCCACAGCTGACAGGTGACATTTGTGATGGTTATTTCTATTTTTACTTATAATGATTAAGTTACATGATATTAGATACTCTTCACATTGTTCATGCATCATTATTAGGTAAAGAGACTGTCGCAAACCACTCGTAAAAATGGTGAGAGTTAGAGCAGGTTTGTCAGCCATCTGACAACCGTCAGAATTGGCAAAAATGCCCGACGAGGCCACGAAGCCAACGTTAACATTCCCAACCATCCAAACGTACACATCTTATGATTTTGCACATACATATACAGTACATACAGGATATTAGCAAAATACAGTAGGATCTCAAGTTTAGCCAGTTTTAGATTCACGATTCGTGTTTTGCATCACTTTTAAAATTTCCAGCCTCTCAAGAATAGAGATTTCCATTACTGGTATCGTGAGTCAACGGAGAGTGGGCAGCGCACATTGTCACGGTCCTTTGTTATCAGCTGTGTTTTTTGTTTTGGGCTATTAGTTTGAATGCGCAAAAGCGGGCGGTGCAGTGACCTTGGATTATATAACTGATTGTGTTTATGTTTCGTGAGATTCTTTTGTAACTATTAACGATGAGTGAGGTGCATAATGTAAATGTCAGGAGCAGTTCTGGTGATAATGATGGCCATAGAAAAGGTCAACAAGGAAAGCCCCAAGCCAAACATGACTACCGTAAGGGGTGAAGAAGAGAAAATAGACCATTGAGATGATCAAAAGTGGTGCTCGTACCTGTGAAATCATGCTTAGGTCCAACTGCCCCGAATCAACCATACGTTCCCTTAAGAAGAACAAGGAAGCCTTAACAAGAAGAACAACAAGCAACACAAAAGGATGACGTAAAACCTGGTGAACCTACAACACGCCAGCTGACTGAGGTGCTCACAAGCATCGCATGTCTCAGTGAGCAGCTACAAGAATACAATACCAGGCCTCATCCTCGGAACCTTATCTGCCCTGTCCTTGTAAGGTTATGGAGGAATATAAGGCCTTGTACATGTCCCGTGTTAATGCTCGTCAGTTTCCATTTTTTGGGGGGGACACATCCACACATTGCTTGCTGTTTCTTGACAGCCCTGGTCCTCATCACCCTCAGGTGGTCACAGAAGAGCTGCAAGTCATGATGCATCAGTGTAATAAGGAAGTTAAGCAGCTGGTCTGTGTTGACTCTGTCGGACAGCTTTATTCCTGGATCATTACACTTGTCCTCAGCCAATCATGGGTATTCTATGCAGTCACATGACAGTAGTGGGCATGTATTAACTCCTGTCAAATAGACAGTAATACTTTTATAAATGTGGGTTACATACATTAGGTTTACATAATTACATCACCCATGGTAACTTTCCTATGAGACATGAGTATTCATCAACTGGACATGTGACAGAGTATTCCCACTAAGCCCTCACACCTTGACCGCAGAGTCATCAATTAACTAGCCGGCTCTCGCCAGTCCGACTTCCATCTCTGAGCCACTGAGATGTGTGCTCTAAGAAGCTAGATATACAAAAGCTTCGTCCCGTATTAACGCTCACGGCTCATAGCATTAATTACGATGTTTGGCTGTTGCAAATCTGTCCGATTTCATCTTGAAGTAATGATTTATTTTTAAATAAGTTTATTCATAATCGTTAGGATAACCATTTCTGATGAGAAATATATTTAGCTAAATTATATAGACACAACATGAGCACGTAGGAAGTTTATCAGAAATCTTATACATGAATTAACTGTTAAACTGTGGTAGCAAATTCACGTTTTCGGAAGACGCATTTAATATATACTTATTTTTACCCACAATAAGGCATACTAAGACAAATTACTTATCACTAATACTACATTATGCAAAAACTAACATTTTAAAAGATCAGAATCACATTGAAATATTACACAGCCCCTGAATGTTGGTGGATGAGTGTGACAGACTGAAGAGCTTGGCCGTTCGAGCCGTCAACACAGGCAGAAAATATGAAGTTGTTTGCAGTCACATTTCCTGCCTCTGCTGACGGTCGTGTAATATTTCAATGTCTGGAATGGAGAGATTTTTCCCGGAAAGCTAAAAAAAAAAAAAATCTGGATCATGGAGAGTTTTCGGGATTGAAGATTCTGGCTAACAGAGAAATTACTGAACTCATTTCTTGTTTATCATAATACTTAAATGAATGTGTACATTTATCAGGCTATTCCCACTTTCAAAGCACATTTATCTGTTATAAAATATTGTATAAGGAAGAGGATGGGAGGAAGCTGCTAATCTACCTTTGAGAAATATGTAACTGAAAGTTTTAGAATGTTGATTGTCAGTTTTAATAAAACGAGCTGCAGTTTAACATGAAATGTTATTCATTGATTTAATTATTATTTTCAGGACACAGATGAGATCACTGTAGGTTACCCATCATTATTTGAACTGATGTGGGACTTACAAGGGATGGCAGAAAACAACGCAGGAGTGAGTCGAAAACCTCACCTACATCGTGACACTCTCCTAGCTGCCAGTGCCATTTATCAAGGTAAATGTGACTATAGTAGAGAGAAGGATTACATATAGGAATTGGTTCTCAGTGATGGCAAACATTACTTCATGCAACTGTTAACAGTATTGAGTGGCCTCTAAAATCATGCCAAAATTTAAGTGCAATACGATTTTTACACTTCTTTATGCAATACTTTATATAAAATGAAAGAAAACAATAAAGTACACCAGACTAAACAAACACTGTAAAATGAAAAAAATATAAAGTAGTTGGGGACCTTTCCTTTAGCTACAGAATTGTATTCCACTACATCTCTAGATAACAATTGGTCAAGTCTGGAATATACCGGTAGCTCCACAGTTGGTGAGAGACATTACATTTTTTTTTATTATTGTTATTTCATATAAATGTATCCATCATTATATGAATGTGTTAGGTTCCTGAAAAGCCATTTGTTAAGTGAATTTTCGTATAACGAATAAAGGAACACAAAGGAAAAATAGGGTTCGGTACCCAAATGACAAGAAAACCCCCAAAACATGAAATTAGTTCCCAAACAACAAAAAAGTCTACCTAACTACAGTAATGTTGAGTAGTACACATCTACATACTGTTATTTACTACCTAATACATTAAAAACAATAATAAAATACTATCTAGATGGAAATATGCAGCTAAAACCATTAAGGAAAAGCTAAATTAAAGATTTACACAGCCGCTATTTGCATAGATGCTGGGTGCGTCACACATGGCTGCCCTCAAGCCTCGCCATAGTAACTCTCCCCCCTGCTCTCACACACAAAGAAATGTTTATTCCCTTTGTGTTTTTTACCTGATTATAATTATTTCTTTTACTTTTGTTTTTTGCACATTTTGTATGTAGGATTGAGTGTGCATGTAACAAAAAAAAAATCTGAAGAAAGTTATGCTTATCTACCCAAAATTACAAATTGAAAAATGACTTAAAACGTAATAACTCTTACCTTAGCCTGGTAGGGAGAATGCGAGGGGGTTGTGGCCATTTCATACGACTCTTTGGGGGGAGGGGGGGTTAAATTTTTGCCAGGACCCAAATTCGTATAAGTGGGGGAAGCTTTCATAACACAAAAAAGAGGTGGTAATTTAAGAAATTCATATAAGTGAATTTTTGTATTTCAACGTTTGTATAGCAAGGGATACTGTATACAGTGATCAAAACGAAGAGGTGAGACTTTTTCCTTGGGTGTTAACCTTTGTTGTCTACTTCAAATATAACTGGCTTCAGAGGCATATCGCTCCAGACCACTACAGGCATCCTTCACTATCCAATATGAAAGCAAATGTTCATATAGTGGGGGATACCTGTACTGGGTTTTGCACTGAATCACAGCTTCTTAATCATACCTTGTCTTGTGTTAGGTGCTATTAGGAAAAAACATAGCAAAATAACTGTTTTGACAGATAGCATTGGCGTTAGTAAGTTGCTGCACCCTGAAATCATAAATTCCTTATGTGGTATACAGGGGCATATTTCAAGTCTGTATTATGTGATTATAAAACAAGTCCTGGAAGTGTTACAAACACCCACAAAATTTGTTAAATCAAGTGACAAACTCTACACTACGTTAGTTGGTGTCTTTACTCTAAATATTAAACTTAGCTAGGTCTTCTTGTAAGTTTCTATTTTACTTATTATGAGAAGATATCACAATTAAAAGATATCCCAGATATTACTTTAATTTTGTTATTGCCATTTTGCTTTTTCAGGTACCCTACAGTTTATGTTAAGTGTAAAAGTAATATATTGGTGATGCTAGCTGACCATTTTAACATTTTATATTCCAGAGATGTATGGGAAAGAAGAAGGGATCCCAGCTACCTTTCAAATCATCTACATGATTGGTTGGAAACCTGACCCTAAGCAGGTACAGTATTGTGGGCATTTGTTATGTATTGTAGCAGTATTTCTTTGGTGTTTGGCTGAAAATAATACAAACTTTATCAACTTCAATCACAATGTTTTATATCACATTGTTTCAGCTTTGGTGTCCTTTTTTACTCAGTATCTAAATGGTTTGGAAGGAAATGTATAGTCTTGGTGTCATTCTATATTTCTATGGGCAGGTAAAATGGAACTGTTTGGAGGCAGTCGCTATATTTATACTGTATACAAGTAAAAGTTCAAGCCATGTGCAAAATGAAAGCAAAACTGATTTACCTGACATGACCTCCTAAAGCTCCCATCAGAGTATATTCTCACCAGTTCCAAGTGTATTATCTATCCCATTAGAATGTGAAATTCTCACCCAAAATAACCTTTCAGCTATAATCTTAATTTTTCAACCTTAGGTGGCATCTCAAGCAGAGCGAGGCAGCGGCCAAGTCTCCCTTAAAGATCTACACAAACTGGATAATATCATTCAGGAGTCGGGTATGGAGGGGAGGATCAAGTTTGTGAAGGATATGATTGAGGATAATGACAAGAACAAGAAAAATTAGTGCAGTTATCATGTAGATAAAGACAGGATCGTATCGTGGGGGGGGGGGGTTATTGGGTGTCTGTAAGCCCTGTGACCAGTTTGGGGCTTATGAATGATTATATGAATAAAACAATACATTAGCCATAGCATCATGAATTGGCATAAGTTTATTTCAGATTCTGTCCAACACTGTAACCCAGGGGTGGGCAATTATTTTTGATGGAGGGCCACTTCATGAATGGTGGCACACTTGCGGGCCACCCACTTAATGTAGATGCAAATGTATTATATTAACACAAAGTAAAGCCTTGTATTTGTAAATACAAATGCAGTGGCGGGCCACAAAAATAATTTGGCGGGCCAAATGTGGCCCGCGGGCCGTACTTTGCCCACCCCTGCTGTAACCCCACCATTCTCATGCTCCAGATATGGCTCTGAATAAAGAGGATATTGCTGGTATACGTTGAAACTTAAACTGAGTATGTTTTACATCAGAATTATTATTTGATCAATATTTCAGTAAATTACTGTAGTCACCATTATCTGAATGCCTTAGTTAATTAAAGGCAGATCATATTGAAAATTAATTTTATGTATAGTTTTTCTCTCAAGTGGTAGAGTGTGTGTGTGTGTGTAGTTTTATCTGATTTGAAATTTATGTGGCAAATCCTTAGTTGAGGCAAGTTGTGGGTAGGACAACTATTTTTGATGTGATAAAAATTTTGTATTTCGAACATATTTACAAATTATTCCTGCTAACAAAATAATATATTATGATAGTCTTATATTCTCTGATTAATTAAATTCTAATATGCAAAAAACCTTCATACTTCCATTAATTAGTAGCATTAGCCAGGCTTTTGTATTTAATCCAATTTCCACTTTTTTTTATTGAAATTGTTGCATGATAGAGAAGATATCACTATAAGTCAAACTGTCCATTTTACTTTAAATAATGTACTATGTAGTATAGTTTTGAGTAGATATTACATGAGAAAAGTTGCTGTGAAATATGTAATTATTGTACAGTACAATACAAGCAAACATACTTACATCCTCAGACAGCAATGGCCAGAAGGCATAGTAAAAGGCTCAATTGAAATTTACTTACTTCAAAAGCCACATTTACTAAACATTAAACATTTTTGCCATAACATAATACCAAGTTAATGACCAATAATTTCTGCACAATGCCAAGAGATAGTTACTTGTGCCTGCTTCATGAATTACAACTTGTTACTGTTATAAATGGAAACTAGCATCTGGTCATAAAACATCCCCTTGGTACTGTTGTTAGGGGCGAATGTTGTAAAAGCTTGCAACCTCCTTGTATGTAGCTTTTGGTAATTGTATATTTTTGTTGCATACAGTTATTTTCTATTGAAATAAAAAGAATATTGTTTAATTATTTTCTTTAGCCCACCTTTTGAAAATACTGTCACCTTTATACATAATTACTGTATGTATAGTGATCTATTGTTTTTCATACTACTCAATATACAGCCATGGAAAGGTACAGAACTTCCTCTCGTCTAGGAACAAAAGGTACAGAACTTCCTCTCATCCATGAACAAAAGATACAGAACTTCCTCTCGTCTAGGAACAAAAGGTACAGAACTTCCTCTCGTCCATGAACAAAAGGTACAGAACTTCCTCTCGTCTAGGAACAAAAGGTACAGAACTTCCTCTCGTCTAGGAACAAAAGGTACAGAACTTCCTCTCATCCATGAACAAAAGGTACAGAACTTCCTCTCATCCATGAACAAAAGGTACAGAACTTCCTCTCGTCTAGGAACAAAAGGTACAGAACTTCCTCTCGTCTAGGAACAAAAGGTACAGAACTTCCTCTCGTCCATGAACTAAAGGTACAGAACTTCCTCTCGTCTAGGAACAAAAGGTACAGAACTTCCTCTCGTCTAGGAACAAAAGGTACAGAACTTCCTCTCGTCTAGGAACAAAAGATACAGAACTTCCTCTCGTCTAGGAACAAAAGGTACAGAACTTCCTCTCGTCTAGGAACAAAAGGTACAGAACTTCCTCTCGTCTAGGAACAAAAGGTACAGGGAACAAAAGGTACAGAACTTCCTCTAGGAACAAAAGATCTGAACAAAAGGTACAGAACTTCCTCTCGTCTAGGAACAAAAGGTACAGAACTTCCTCTCGTCTAGGAACAAAAGATACAGAAAACAAAAGGTACAGAACTTCCTCTCGTCTAGGAACAAAAGGTACAGAACTTCCTCTCGTCTAGGAACAAAAGGTACATAACTTCCTCTCGTCTAGGAACAAAAGGTACAGAACTTCCTCTCGTCTAGGAACAAAAGATACAGAACTTCCTCTCGTCTAGGAACAAAAGGTACAGAACTTCCTCTCGTCTAGGAACAAAAGGTACAGAACTTCCTCTCGTCTAGGAACAAAAGGTACATAACTTCCTCTCGTCTAGGAACAAAAGGTACAGAACTTCCTCTCGTCTGAACAAAAGACAGAACTTCTCTCGTCTAGGAACAAGGTCAGAACCTCTGCAAAAAGGTACAGAACTTCCTCGTCTAGGAACAAAAGGTACAGAACTTCCTCTCGTCTAGGAACAAAAACAGAACTTCCTCTCGTCCATGAACAAAGGTACAGAACTTCCCTCTCGTCATAGACAAAAGGTACAGAACTTCCTCTCTTCTGAACAAAAGTACAGAACTTCCTCTCGTCTAGGAACAAAAGGTACAGAACCCTCTCGTCCATGAACAAAATACAGAACTTCCTCTCATCATGAACAAAAGTACAAACTTCCCTCTCGTCATGAACAAAGGTACAGAACTTCCTCTGTCTAGGAACAAAAGGTACAGAACTTCCTCTAGTCTAGGACAAAAGAACTTCCTCTTCTGGAACAAAAGGTACATAACTTCCTCTTGTCCACGAAAAATAACATATGTTGACCTGTGTTGGCAAAAGAGTAAAGAACATTGAAAGTGAATAAGTCAGTATGTTACATGTTACAGAAAAGTGTGAAATTTGGTAGGAAAAAAAGCTGTATTGATTGTATTTAGATAAGATATGCTGTATGGTTATCCTTTCACAATCACTGCAAAAAACATTAAATAAAAGAAAGTTTTGGAAGAACATCCAACATGAAATGACGGACAGTGATCATAGGTCTCGGATTCCTACTGGACCTGAACAAAGAAATATGGAGAGGGTATATGAGTATATTAATATTTGGGTTATATGGCTGGATTAAACCAAGTTGGAGGTGTCGGAAATATAAAAAAAAAAAGAATAGTAAACTGGTTAAGCTAAATAAAAGAATTTGTGAGCAAACAAGTGTGGTACAGTTGCAGAAATGTGTTTCTACACCCCATGCAGCCTAGTTGTGTAATAACATTAATATGAGAATTCAGTTTTGTTATAACTTAACATTGACTGGAATTAGCAGCAGATACCAAACAAAGCCTCGATACACTGAGATCTATATTTAATTTTAGAGAATGATTCTTGGCTAAAAATTAGGCATTTGGTCCATGTCTATCCCATATCAGAGAAGGCCTGAAAGAGGTCAATTTTAAACCTTGTTTTTGAGTACAATTCATACAGTACCCCCCTTAAGACAGAATTAGAAGGGTAATGGTCATCTTGCTGGAGGACTTTTCAATAAATTAAGAGATCTGATTATGGCTGGAAGAGTACTGTACAGGTAGTTATTACACCCCTAAGCCTTACTGCTACAGGTATTAAGATGGTTGAGGACTTCCAGGACTCTACGTTGTATATTAGTAGTTGAGCGAAGGTAAAGGAAATAAATGGGTTGTGTTGTTGTACTGTGGGGTCCAGGGGAGGAGGAGGCGGTAGTGTAGCCTCCGTCAGTGTACAGGAGTTGTATGAAAAATGCTTAAGATGGCTATTAACCTTAGCTAGTATGTATAGACATATAATACTGCTATTACATGCTTTAACCAAAGTTAGCATGTGGATAGACATATAATACTGCTATTAAGATGGCTATTAACCTTTTTAGCTAGTATGTAGTACAGACAGATAATATTGCTATTAAGATGGCTTTAACCAAAGTTAGCATGTGGATAGACATATATCACTGCTATTAAGATGGCTATTAACCAAAGCAGCATGTGGATAGACATATAATACGTTATTAAGATGGCTATTAACTCAGGCTAGTAGCATAGACAGATACTGCTATTAAGATGGCTATTAACCTAAGCTGATATGTGATATATGAATAAACTTAGAATTAGTATCGGTACATTGTTGTTGCAGTGTGGGGTACTTATCCACCTGTACTGGGACCTTGATTTTGTATGAATTTATTGAGTAAAAAATAATAAGCATACATACATGAGGGTTATCGGCCTGGTTATGTCATGTTAGACACCTTGTTCAGTTGAAGTTTTTGTTAGGTAAGAGTGGTAGGTATCGTCACCGGGGCCCATATGCTGCCATTAAGGAAGTAAAATTATGTAATGATCACTAAATCAACATTTCTATATATAATTATTTGCCCCGATAGTGTAAAATACTAGCGCGCCACTCTGGATCAATTCATCTCAATTGTTTATTCCCTTGATAGAGGAAGGGATCCTAGTACAGTCACCAGGTGACTTGTACAATGACACCAGAAGCATCTGGCAAGCCCTGACAAGTATATACAGAGAAGATATAAAATATTGAAAGCCTGGGAGGAAGGAAGAATATCTTTAACACATAATCAATATTATTTACATAATATCTGGCCAGTATGGGAGGATCAGCGTGTTTCCGCTCATAGGGTCGAGTGGTGGTGACTG